CCTGCAAGATCCTTCAGACGTCTCAAGTCTTCAGTTCAATTCAGTTTTATTTATACAGCACCAAATCCCAACATCAGTTGCCTCAAGGCGCTATATATTTTCAAAAAAGATTTTCTTTTCACAATGTCACAAATGGAAATCAGATTATTATTCTCCTTTCTAAAAAAAACAAACAAAAAAACAGTTAAATTGTTACTTAAAAAGTATAAGTTTTATATAAAAGCCAATCTGGGGGGATTTCTTTGTATACAAGTAAATTTGCAGGTTTAAACTGTAACTTTTCCTCTTTTTTTGTGGAAGTGGGCCAAAATTCCTTCGTAAGGACTCGAGAGACTGAGACAAAAAAACATTTACATCGAGTCATTGCTGCTTTGACAAGCTGTTGAATCGTGGGAGCATTTTTTTATTCTTTAATTTATTTATTTTTTACACGCTGTTTCTGCATCTCTGCTTTATTTTTGCTAAATAAATAAAGACAGGGCATAATATATAAGGAGTTGCTGTTGTTCACCTCAGACTGTTTTTACCGACTTTTATGACCTGGTACAGACTAGATCTTTTTTATTATGTCCTGATGATAAGCAAAACCTTTTAGGTGGTACAGGGTGTGCGCTCTTTTTACTCTGGCTGTATTTTAATGACGAAACTAGACTAGACTAAGCATCGTATATCATTTTCTATTTATATACAATCTTTTCGGTTAAATTAGGCCTGTGTGTCATCATACTATACTATTCAAAGTGTATCTATGTTCTTCATTTCGGCCTGGACGAGCGGATGAAACTTTGCATAAACATCGTGTAGAGTAGCGGTCCCAAACCTTTTTTGCCCCACGGACTGGTTTATGTCTGACAATAATTTCACGGACCGGCCTTTAATAAAACCAGTACCGGTACCAAAAAAACCAGAAGATTTATTCATAACACACGGAAAAAGACCCAGGAAAACCGAGTTAACACTAAAAACCGATAAAACCATATATTTCACACCCGAGCCGGCGTGGCCCGGGGACCGCTGATCTGAAGGACACGTGAAGTTTGGAGATCTGTAGCGATTAACTCTGCAGAAACTTAGTGACCTCTGCACTTTTACACCTCAACATCTGGTGACCCCGCTCTGTGATTTCACATGGCCTACTACTTTTTGGCTGAGTTGTTGAGTTTCATCCCCAGTGGCTTCCACTTTGTTTACAACAGTTGTCTGTGGAATATTTAGTAACGAGGAAATTTCACAATTGGAATCGTTGCACAGGTGGCATCCTATCACGGTACCACGATGGAATTCACTGAGCTTCTGAGCAACCCGTTCTTTCACAAATGTTTGTTGAAGCAGTCCCAATGCCGAGCTGCTTGGTTTTATCCTGCGGCCACAGAAATGACTGGAACGCCTGAATTCAGTGGTTTGGATGGCTGAGTGAATACTTTTGGCAGTTCCTCGGAGAATGGCACAGTCTGAATTTGGAGTTAAATTGTTGGGATGTCCAATTTTTGAGAAAATTGTGGTTTTTATTTGGCACAAAAACTGCCCACAGTTAAGCTTTTACTAAGGTGATCACAGCAGGCTACTTCTTGGCCTCTTCATTCCCACAGAAGCAGTAAGGTTGAACTTTTCTCAAACACTACTCCTGGATTTTGGCTTGTTTTTTCTTAAATCACTAATAACACAGTGTTACATGTCATGTATTATTCATCCAAAGTTGTTTACACTTATTTTTCAGACCATAAGATTTTTAATATGTCCTGATACATAAAACCTTAGGAGGATGCATTTTCTTTCTCATGTGGGTAAAACAAAAAAGGTGTGAAAGGTTCCACTCCTAGGGAAGTTAGAGATCATTAAAATAGTCTGTGTGTTTTGGCAGGATGTCCCCCAGCACAAGTTTTGTAGTTCCTTCCTCCCATCAGGGCCAAATTCACAGAGTCAGCTGAGGCAACCGACAAATCAACAAGTCACATGCTAGTACATAACAGGACAAATCAAAAGCCAAACAAGGTCTTTTAATACCATTTCATTCTTTTTAATGGAAATATTTACTAACAACAGTTAAATAATCTTGCCACTCCTACAGAGGTGTGAAGGATCACTGTACAGTAAGCTTTTCACAGTATTTCTTACAATATTTACATCCCCCATCATCATCTCCTTTAGCAGTGGATGAGTACATTTACAAAGTCACATCTGCAAACCAAGCGCTGTGTCCTTTTACACAGCGCTCTACCTTTCAAGTCAAAGCACTTACAAAAAGTATATGTCAGCATACAAAGAAAAAGAAGTCAGTTTTCTGAACAGTATTTTGTATAATTAAGTTAGTACATTCACGCACACAAACATAGTTAATCTCAAATTAAATGCAATGCAAACTGAAGCTAACTGTTTTGGTATGACTGGACTGCAACAAACTAAGTGTGGAGTGCAGATTTAGAATCAATAATAAACAAACTGATTTTAAAACAACCGTATAAAGTGACGACATTATGACAGTGAACCGTTTCAATGGCCAGCGTGGAACAGCAAATTCAGACAGCCAGTCTCAGCAGTCGACACAAAAACACATGAAATGGATGCATTTGTCTGGAAATGGGGATCAGAGTCAAGTTCATTTTCTGTTTGCTGTCACCTTACCCAGCGCCCAGTCTAAAGAGAAAAAGTTGTTGCAGCATTGTGAATACGGATGCAATATTGTGTCAATATCGTGGATCAAATATCAGGTTTCGCTTTCTTGTCACGTTCGTTTTAACACTGGTTGGATGGATTTATCACAGTTGAGATGATGTGTTAACAGCTCAGTTAATGGAGTCTTATCTCACATTAGCCATCTCTGTCTCCACTCCCTGTTTGAGGAAGTGCACTCACAGACTGAGAGCAGTGAAAGACTTGTGCAAATAAATAAAGCCAAACATATTTGGTCTATTTGTCCGGGCTAGTTGTTTTTTTTTTTTAATTTGTTCTATTTGGCCACATGAAATCTGATCACTGCATCTTTAATGGATGATACTACAGCAGTGGGTAAGGTGACCAAAGATCCAAACAGCTGCTAAATAAATGCAAAGATTAGTTGGAATGTGTCTTCAATTCATCTCCCACACACTCAGCTTCATCTTCTGTTAGCGTATAAGATACAATGTTACAGGAACCTAAAATGCCTTCCCTTCAAAAAGCTGTCAGCAGCCTGTATAAGTGTCCTCTGAAGGGAATGGAGATATTCACCCAGTGCTCATGGAGTGCGAATGCCCTCTTTATCCCGGCTGATGTTCTACCTGGGTATTAGAATTGTGTGTTCAAGCAGCAAATTCACCAATTTGGCCTTTGCAAATGCACCAAGCTGATTACTTCACTGTTAGTAGCATAAAATAAGTCTTTTGATAACATTTAAATAATAAAATTCACTAAGTGAAGTAAAAGACTCCTGAATATGTGCCAGTGTATGCATCAATAACTTTTAAACCCAGTGAGTTTTGTACTGTTGCAATCAGTTCTTATTCACACTGAGGAGAAGAGAATTATTTTACCTAAAGTTAAGAACGATTAAAGCCTTCAGATATTAACAGCACTCCTCAGAAAATCCCTCTCGGGTTAAATGTTCTGAATGAAAGCCATTAACATGCTTTAGTCCCTCTCTCCTGCAGCTCAGCTGGTGAATTATTAAGCCTTCCAGTTACACGACACCAGCAGTAGAGGACAAAGGTCAGAGCTCCCTCTTTGGTGCCAAGGAGGAGTAATACCCCATGACTTCTTTAGAAAGCTGCCAGTTCTGCTCTGCTTTTAGCCAAGTTTGGCCAACGGTGATGGAAACGAAAGGTTCCACCCCACCAGCTCTACCCTCTAGTTTTGCACTGGGATGCCCTGCAGTGACTGGGATGCCCTGCAGTGACTGGGATGCCCTGCAGTGACTGGGATGCCCTGCAGTGACTGGGATGCCCTGCAGTGACTGGGATGTCCAGCGGGGAGGTCACAAAAAGACATCCTGCTTAGAAGCCTCTGGAAAAACTTAGTTTTTGAACTCTCTAAACATATCATTGATGACTTTATTGTCTGAATAGTTACTAGTTTCAAGTCTTACACTTTCCAATATGTAATTTTTGTACGTTATTATTATTATTATTATATTAATTATTAACTTATTACTAATTATTATTGAGTCAGAAGTTAACTACAGTACTGTACGATTTTGCATATGACTGACAAAATCTGTGAGCCACATCTCAGAAAGAACTCGAGGCTTCAAAATGAGACTCTGCTCACCAATGGCTGACATCACAGTGCATTACATCACATTACATCCATCTTTTCTATACAGTCTATGTTTCACATTACACTCAATCTGTCTGGCCTTTTGAAAAAGGTGACAGCCTTGAACAGATACATTTCTGCTTAGTTAGGTGTTCAGTCAAAAGTTAAGCTGAAAAAAAGTTATTTAATAACAAACAGACAAGCTAGATTTCAAAGAAGCCTGCTCTCTAAGCTGTGAGTACTTTTGTGCATTAATGATTTCTTCGTCTTTCAGAGTCAGATCTTTTTCCCAGGAAAACAGTAGCTGATCTCGTGACAGACACCCCCCCCCACCCAGCTAACCCACGCCAGATTCTTTTTGAAAGCTCCACTTGATTTGACCCCAGATAAAACTTATGCAATATGTAATTATGTAAGAAGTTTTGACACTAAATCTGAGATGAATAGAGTGGATTACAGCATGGGACTGAGACTGGGCTATGATTTCAGGACGGTTTGAAAAACAGATGCATAAACCTCCGCAGAGTAAAGGGAGAAGCAACCAAAGACCAAAACTGGGAACTGGTGAGCGATCAAAGATGAAAGGGTATAAAGGGAGAGGAGGACATGGTACAGGGAGGGTGACAGAGGTGGTGACTTTCCAAAATGTCTGGAAACCTTAAATGGAAAATTTAACAGAGCGATGCGCTGTAACCATAAAAGTCAAAAAGGTGGAAATAATGCTCGAGGACAGGAACACACACACAGAGGTCTCGTCTTTGTAGCCATCCCCTCCACCTCCTTCAGTACCACTTTCCAAAGAGTTGTTAACCTGAGATGTTAAATACAAATAAATAAATGCACATTTAGCTTTAACAGTGAGTCAACCTAAACCTTTCCATTTGCTGTTCCAAACACGTGGCGTTTGGCATGAAACACCAACTAACACGCAGACAAGTCTTACAATTCTAGCAGCATAAGCAGCAGCAGTTTGCTGTGAATAAGTGGGAGATGTGGTGAAAGAAGCTGAAAGTGCTTCAACAGGAAAAACGGGGCACAGGAAAAGGACACCCCGAGGAAAGCTCAGTGCAGAAAGCTATGGGCACTTAGCACCAAAGGTGATGGAAAAAAAAAAAACGAGAAAAGGTCACAATGTGTTAAAATATGTAGAGACAGAGGAAGGAACACACACAAGACACACACATACAATGGGACTAACACCAGGCTGCACCTGTAGTCAGTTTCAGAAAACAAACCATCATCCTGACACTCTTCAACCCTCTCCTTCCTCTTGTGACATCATTACCAGCGTTGTGGAACATTTTGGTGTCCTATCCCAAACACAGACCTCTCTACGCCTGGTTCAGCTGCTCTAAGAGGAAAAGCGTGACGCTTTTTCAACATATATTAGAAACGCAGACGAATGCACTTGCACACATACACACACGAAAGTTTTGTCATTCTCGGGCTACAGCGGTGACGTACGTGGAGCTAAAGTTTGGGGGAATCAAAGAGTAATTGCGCTTGTTGCAGGAAAAGGATGCCAGGCTGACCGAGGAGTGGTCCATCAACAGCTGGCTCACAGAAGCGTCTTCATGGGAGAGGAAGTCCCAGCATTTAACCTTCAAACACACCTCCTTCTGGGCTCCTCTCCTCGTCCTTCTGGCTTCCGTCGCCTCCTCTCACTCTGGGATCTGCAGGGCCATCACTGCAGGTTTAGTCTTGAAGTACTGGTTGAAACGTAGCACGGCGTACCTGCAGACGGAGAGACAGAAAAGACTGATTTTTGACTTTGTCGCTTGCACAGAGATGTCTCTTCTCCAAGATTTCTTCTTGGAATGTTACAAATGTGTTCTTTAGATAAGATAAAAAAAGTTTGTGGACACAATTTTTGGCAGATTGGTGAACCTTTGCCACATTCCCAAACACATTCAACCATGACTTGCTTAACTCATCTGCACGGATGTGGTGGTGTGTGCGTCTCTGTGTATGTGTGCATGTACAGTCATGATGCTTAGTGCTAACCTCTTCACACACGCACACTTACCCCAGGAAGTCAAAATCGATGGAGGAGTATTTGGCTTGGATGAGAGCCCAGAAACCCCAAAAGAAGTGAGAAGCCTTGAGAGAAAACAAATGAGATATCAGATGTGTACCATGAAACAGCAGGGTTGAGCTTGCAAGAGATACTGTGTGCATCTGTCAACATCTGTCTCACCAGAGCAAACTTGTTGACCTGAACGTAGAGCGTCTCTAGCTCTCGCTGGCTGACCTCCTCTGTGTTCTTGGTGAAGAGTTTGTAAGCCTGCAGATACACCTTGAGCCACTCCATTTGCATTTCCCGACTAGGATAGAGTCCATAGTTCGGCTCAGTCATGCCTGAACAAACACATGGACGTGCAGTCGAAGGATAAGCTGTGCACCACCAACACATAACTAACTCATGTAAATCACACTGTGCTTTTGCTGACCTGCAAATTCATTGAAGTGGTTGCCGATGTCAAAGGCCTGGTAGTTGTAGCTGGAGTACTCATAGTCGATGAAGCGCACATGACCTTAAGGAGACCAGAGAAAGGAAAACACGTATGTTACATTATTATGCATGTGGTCATTTACAGCAAAGCTGAAGGGAAGCAATATGAAGCACTCTTCAGGTACTGCTGCCACATGCAGTGCACGGTCACATGACAGACAAAGTCAGAGACAGTTAAAAAGCCTGCTAGCTGTGCTGCCTCTTCACTTAAGTGCTACTGACTGAACCTGAAGAGCATCTTTACATGGAACCGCTGTGTGCTTCAGTTAATCTTCCTTTGTTGGGGCAGGGATTGTTTTTGATGGTCATCTTGAGACAGCAGGAAGTAGAGGGATTATGTGACTATTAGACGCACTGGAGGGACTTGTTGGTCAAACTGTACACCAGTCATCTACACCTGGATGACCGGAACAAGAGCCAGTGAACAACGCCTTTGCAACATTCATGGAAATTTACATGAATGCACTGAAAAACTGCAAATCTTTGATCTTTGTCTATAGTAACAACAGTCTGTCGTTACTATAGACAAGGAGCAGATATACAAAGACCAGATAGACAGACTTAGCTGGGCAAATTAACATGAATCCACAAAAACTGAATAATGCTTGTGGCTCCAGAGGTGATTTAGTAACAATATGTATGACAGTAAATGCTGCCACCAATAACTTACTAACAACATATGCACAGCTTGTTGCTTATAATCTAAGCAAAGGTTTTTTATTTCTCGAACTGATGGGGACGGAGCAGGGAGTAGTCCTTTATATGAATCCTGAGCTGAGTCTTTACATAAAGTCTGTTTTATTACAAGCAGTTGCACTATATAAACCCAAAATATATATCAGCAGACCTGACCAAGGAGCATTTTGGAAGATCCCGATGAATGCAGTGTTAATGAAACCACTGCAACTGGTGCACAAGCATAAATACACACATCACGCTCATTCATTTTTTTCCTGTTTTGCTTCTTGTTTCACGCTGCATGTGTTTCTTGATCCTACAATAGAGAAGTTTTTGAATTGTAGTACAAGAGGTGCTGTTGCAAATAGGGCTGGGCCATATTATACCGTTCACGGTAATACCGGTATAATGTTAGGCAACGATAGGAAAATGAAATATCGCGATAGAATATGAGTAAAACGCGCATGCGCAGTGCCTTTGTTTTCATACGCACATGGCCGATTGTTGAGTGAAACAGATGAACCAGAATTGGTTTGTAAAAATGGTGCAACTTCCGTGATGTGGAACTGGTTTGGTGTTTGTCCGTCAGATACACACAAAGCACATTTTTTTGCAGAACATGCAAGCGGCCGTCGTTATTGTCGTATTTGTCGGACTAAGATGCTCTTAAATCTGGGAGTAATCTGGGTCCTAAACTCCGTATGCTTCAGGTCAAACAACACTGCAGCATCACTGAGAGTTAAAAACTGTCTAAATTCTTTCATCTTTAATAAAACGATCAGCATTGCTGCTTTACCAGGTGTAACTATGAAGTTTAACTTCCAGGCATCCATGAAAACAAAAGTTATTACATTTAACGGAGTTAGAAGTTAGCAGGAAGCTAGCGGAAGTTAGCTCGCTAGTTTCGCTAGTTACCTAAGCATGATATAATAATGGATTGGATTTATATAGCGCTTTTCAAGGCACCCAAAGCACTTTACAATACCACTATTCATTCACTCTCACATTCACACACTGGTGGAGGCAGCTACAGTTGTAGCCACAGCTGCCCTGGGGCAGACTGACAGAAGCGAGGCTGCCATATCAGCCATCGGCCCCTCTGTTCTGACTAGAGATTTCTGGAAAAATTCAAACGTACAGCTCTGCTATCACTCCAACATAAATGAAGACAGGAAACTAAACAGCAGTGACGTTTGTAGGGTTACTGAAGTTGGGCTAGCTGGTATATAATGATGTGCTACGTGATCGCTAGCGACACAGCTATGTTAGCATAACATAAACAGTGAAGCTGGAGGACGAACACTAACACTTTTCCACTTATAAAAGTTAACGTTAAGGTTCCTGATAGTTAGAGACAAATGCAATCGCATGGCAGGATGCTGTAAACGGACCAAACTTCAGTCAGGAGAACAACTGAGATAATCCATCCACAATACGAGGTTAGTCATTAATATACTGCAACAACATGGGAATAGAGCAGCTGCCAGAGAATTCAACATTAATGAATCAATGGTACAGAAGTGGAGGAAGCAAGAAGAATGAGTTTAATAAAGTTTGATTTATCTGACTGCTTTGTTTCGCTTAATGTGCCTTATAATCCCGTGCACCTTATGGTCCGAAAAATACGTACTGCACACTGCAGTTTAATGTTGCAAAGCACCTCTTTTTAACTTCAGTGGATATTATACATGGTTATGCTCAGGATATGTCAGCCCATTTCTACTGGAAATGCCTTTTGGTTAAACTTTCAGCAAGGAATTTGCATTTGCACTGTTACATTTTTATAAAGCTTTAATGTACATAAAAACCAGCTTCTTGTTTAAGTGAAAATAAATGGAAGGTTGTCTTTTTGCGCTAGTAATGTTGTGGAGTTGTATTTTGTCTCGCATCAATTATATCGTCAGTTATATCGTTATCGCAAATTTTCAAATATATATCGTGATAAATATTTTTGGCCATATTGCCCTGCTCTAGTTGCAAAGATCATGTTTCTGTTTTCCTTAAAACCCAGTAACCGCCAGATAAATCCTAGTTATTGGGAATGCTAACATTACGGCTGAATTAATATGCTAACAGGCAAATGCTTTTCCCCCCAGAAACCAAACTAACATATAATATTTGTTTATGGGTGTTTCTTCTTCATTTGTAGAGCACACAAATCCTTTTTTCCGGTCATTGATGGTTATCAGCATGCTGCACTGTGCATCATGGCTAATGCTAACGTAGTCAGCTATTGTGGATTCAAGCTAATTTGTCCAGCTGTTTGCATTAGCCAAGCTGTGGTACAAAATATTAGAATTCTTAGTATTTTGTACCACAGCTTGGCGAACACATGTGACAACTATCTGTCTGTTTTGAAACTCCTCAAAGCCCAAGGCCATTTCTATAAATGTTAGCACAGACTGCCTAAAGAATAAAAGGGAACAACTGTAAAAGTCAGCATATGATATTAGAGAGCTGTATGTGTGCATGCTGGTTGTTATAGATGCACAAACAGAAAGTTATACTAAAAGGGAAATATTATGCAAATAAAGCATTACTTTAGTAACTCCCAACCTTTACATGTTAACACCAAAAGATGTTTTTGTGCTGGTGCAGGCAGTTAGTATAACATGCCTCACTTCTAGTGATCCAGCTGTCAATGATCCACTGGAATGGGGGCAGTGTGGGGAGTGAAGTTAGAAGTGCTGCTGCTCATTCTGGTTGTAAAATAGAATCACAGCCGTGAGACAAGAAGCTCAGATTAAGCCTCAGACACTTACCCTCTTTGCTGTTGTGGATGATGTTCTTGCAGAGCAGGTCATTGTGACAGAGCACCACAGGTGAGCCCAGTGTGGAAAGATGTTCCTTCATCCAAACCATCTCCTGCTCCAGCACCACCTTGCTGGGAACTTCCTGCTGTATTCTGGACAGGGAAGGAAATGGAGAGACGGTCAGTGTAGTCGCGCACATTGTTGTGACAACCATTCAGAATAGCTGCACGCACAACACTGTGTCCACCTGTTAAGTAAGTATCACAGGAATACTTTCACTGGCCGTTTTTCACCTAAATAAAACACCTTTCATTATTTTGGTATCATGCCACGTGAGAACATATGTGAAATGAAAACAACTGAGTGCGACATGCACAGGCAGCACACACAAGCTCAGTGGGGCTTTGGCCTGCTGACTCCTGGGAACACAGTTGCAGAGAAACAAGTTCTCAGTGGACCCTCCTGGTGCTGGAGTCACTGTTATTACGGCTACATTACACCTCATTTCCTGAGTTTTCAGACCTGACTACCAACATCTGATCTGCGATTTATTCCACACTGTACTTGAAATAAACATTCATGCATATCCTGCACCAGTATTTATATAAATCTTTGCTCTTCTCATCTGTGTGCACATGACACAAACCTACTGAGGATTCACGCATCACGAAGGGTTCAGCCCAGCTAAGATTGTGTAGTCTGATCTGATGGTAGTCCAAAGGTGGTCTTACTAGATAGCAGAGAAAGAGCTAAGGTAGTCTCATCCAAGCAAAAGCTAAGAGTGCTGAGTAGAAACCCCTTTGTTAAATGTAATGGGCTTATGTGGATTACTCCAGTATCAACCTGAAGACAGTCTGAGCTCAGAGAAAACCAGTGTGCACACAGGATGCACCCTCTCCTCTCAGATCTCCATCTAGCTAGCTCTCTCTCTGACACTCACTCAAACTTAACTCATCTAACATGTCATCCACAGAGGAAATGTTACTGAAATGATTCTGATTTAGACTAAATGCTACAAATAACACCGGCCTATTAAAATGAAGCGCAACATGAGGGCTTCTCAGATAGCAGTGTGCAACAAGTGTCTGCTGTCCAGGACCAGGGACTCTAGCTGTCTGTGTTACCAAGGACGGGATAAAGTGATCTGATAGACCGGGCTAAGCAAACATCTGCTGGCCCACTGAATGCCAAACACTCCCTAATCCAGTCTGCTATTATTGTTACAGTTATATAAGCCACATGCTGGACTTAATCTAACAGGGAAGAGAACAAAGATATTAGCTGGGACTGGGCAGCTGGCCAGGTTATAAAATGGTATACTTTATCTGCTCCACATGTCTCTGCCATGCTATCCTCCTTATTATATAGAGATGAATTTACATTTTCATTAAACACACTTCTAGGTAAGGCTGGGAAATTACATCTCTATTACATCTCATCTTTTGGCTGACAAATATCTTGACGTTTTCTATGCTGCAAGCCAAGTGTTCAGTTTTATGCTAAAGCTACAAGTCAACGATATTTTACTCATATAAAACACAAAGATAAGATTAAAAAGTTTACTGTCTCCATGCTAACATATTTCAGTAGAAATATAAAGCTTGCTCCATTGTTGTAATGAGCTAATTAGCATAGCAATAACATTATTGTGTCATTGGTTAATTCTGCCCGGCGTCTGACCTTAGCACATGTTTACTTCTCTCTACAGACTTGATTTGGGCTATATCCCATATGCTGTCAAATCATGCGACTTTGCAGTATGTGTGCTTGCAATGGAACAGGAGACCTTGTATTTGCAGCAGAGCACCTAACTCTCTTCTACTGAGACTAGCTAAGGTGTATTGCTTATTTAGTCCTACATGCTTTTTAAACAAACCTGGAAAAAATAAAGAGAACTTGAGTCAGTGCCGAGTATTTCAGCTGCGTGACAGTCTTAATTGCTAACGCATTCTCAAATGGACAGTGCTGTGCCAACAGGAACATTTGTTAGCCTTCAAACCCAGAAATAATGTTAAAGTTTATATTTGGACATCAATACATGAACCGCACAGGATACAGTCGTACGCTTTTTGCAGTTATCTCTGTCATTTTTTATGCAAAGAAAGCCCAACTACCCCACTGCTTCATCACGGAGAACTTGCAGAATATTTCAGGCTCTATGCAAACAGCTTATGTTCTCATTTAACAGGAAACTCATGCTGGGCTTTATGGACTATTTGCATCATTATCACGGTGATAATGATAACCTTAACTTTGAGCTTTGAAAGTAGATAAGCAGGAGCTCACCTGATGTTGGAGGCTTGCTCTGTGAATTCTGTGGCTACAAGTGAGAAATATTTTCGCATCTTGATCCAGAGGTTGGGTTTGGGGATGCAGCCGTTGTGTGCATGGATGGCGTGGATACGAGCCATTTCCCTGGCTATCAGCCTGAGCGGAGACAGACAGAACAAGGTTACAGTCGTGGCAAGATTTCAACTACAGACCATTAGTATCTAGTTGTAAAGAATCCCCACAGTACAATGGCAGAGTGTCCTACTTCATTTATCTACAAGGACAAATTTTGGTTACAGAGTTCCTGGAGATAGTTGAATTAAAACAAGCAAATACATAATGTCCACTACACAGAGCTGACGTCCACAATGGGAAGACTGTTTCACAGTCAAAACATTGTGTTACCAGATAAAGCATTCCCTCTAAATGTTGCGTTTCAGCTCAGAACCTTGTGGAATTGTCCGTTTTCTTCATTATACAGTTCTTTTTTTGTGTGTCCTGTGCATTTCTCCATGTGTCTAATCTTTGTTGTATGAGGCAGAAAAGCACTGATGTTAAAATTTTCACCATCTTTGAGTAAACTCAAAAAACCCATTCAAACATTGCTGTGACAAATTCACACCTGAGCAGAGTAGGATCTCTGACATCCTGCGTTCCAAGTGCATCTCCCTGCATGAACTCATAGCAGATGCCATTTAGAAAGGTGCAGTAGAGGCGAGGAGCACAACCATTAGCATGCAGCACCTAGGAGACACACAAAAAGATGACAATGAGGTAGGAGCAAACAACTGCTTACGTTAATTAATTTAGGACTCTGCAACGCGGCAACACTACCTGAAAGCTCTTAAGCTCATTGTCTCGGTCCACAATCAGCTCTGTTTTGTTTCCATATACTCGGACCAGGACTACGTCATCTGGACTGTCGTCCACGTAGCAGCCCACTAGCTTGTTGGTGGTTCCATCGGTGAAGAGCTGGAAAAAGATGAAACCACATCTCGTCTCAAACAGAGCCTCTGATTGTACAGCGCCATGGTGCTTCAGGACTGTTTTCCTTAAAGCTATTAGTTACCTCTAAGTCAACATCAACCCTGAAGACACCATACAGCTTTGACCTACATGAGATGAATATGTCAGAACGCCTCCGCAGGGTTCACAGAAGACTTGAGCTAAATGTTGAAGTGGTTTTTAAGTCATCTTACTAAGATTTTGTTTGAATAATAGTTGTACAAGAACATGAGAACAGGGCATGGTCAGTCTGTGTTAGCAAGAGCAGTGTATGGACAGTGACATGGAGAGGCATATTACAGTAGGGCATAAAACTCTCATCAAAAATGAATGCACACTACAGAGTGTAGTGGTTCAACAGCCCTCTGCAGCGGTCTACACAGATACAGTCCTCAGATAGAGTCATCTGCCACCATGTTCTCGACAAGTGGTTGAGTGTTTGTGTGGCATCCACAAAGCCCACTTGTCCCCTTACGCTGATGACGATGATGACATACCAACATTATACTGAGTTACTCCCTTTAGTCTAAGAGGAAACATTTTTATCTTGATCATATCATCCTGGACGGTACAGTGGTGCAGTAGTTACAACTGTCACGTCACAGCAAGAAGGTCCAGGGTTCAAATCCATCAACTGTGTGGACCTTGCATATTCTGCTAGTGCCTGCGTGGGTGCTCCCCATGTATTCTGATTTCCTCCCACAGTCCAAAGGTTAACTGGTGATTTTCTCTATCTGGGTACAGGATGTTTTTTAAGCTTGTAATGTACACCCAGTATTTGTTTCATATCGGCTCACGTTCACACTGTAAATGAACTGTAAATGAACCTCTCTGGAGTTCGTTTGGACTTTGGACTGTTGGTTCTTGGTGTGGTTGTTTTGGTCCACATGTGAGTGCAGTTACTATGTTCACATCTACACAAACAAACCGCACCAGTTGGGAAAACGAACCAGAGTTAAATTAAAACGGACTAAACAGCGTAGGTGTAAAAACACCCTGAATGTTCCTTCATATCACTGGTGAAGACTTCTTGCACGTCGCCTGATCAGTCTTAAAGACTGATGCTGTCAACAAGCTGAGTCAAATGCTTTTTCTAAAATGAAAAGTTAGCAAAAAGCCTTGTGTGTTTGAAACTTAGCCTTAAAAAACAAAAAAAATCGGAGTGACAGCGTGGCTCCAGTGGACAGTGGTGGGCTGGTCCGTCCCGCTGCAGCGGACACAATAACAACATACACACTGCCTGCATCTCCCCCCAAGGACCAGACGCTCACTCACGCATATCTGGCATTCCACACGTGGCTCACCACAAAGATGGGCGACAGACATCCCTGTTATGACCATTCATACACAAACATACACGCCTTTGCCAAAACGTGACTGATCCCTTCTGCCCGCCACACAATACGCTGCTAAGACCTACGATCAATACATCGACAGACAGCGATAAGCTTGGACCCAGACAGAGGTAAACATTCTGCCATATACTGCTTGCATGGGACATTGATGGTGGCATCCTCCCCCCCTCAACCACCCCACTACCAATAACCAGGTCCCTGTAGGGTGACCTCACTGTACAGGCTGGAACAGGTTTCCTTTGATTGACGTGAATCTTTGAGTCTTTGTTATGTGAAACTTGTAAGAGGAGACCATTACTCTGTTGCTGCAGGCACTCTGCCATTTTCAGGAAGTGAGTGGATGTTTGGCAATAGACAATAAAAATCTCCCTGTCCAGGTGGCAGGGCCGGTCAGGTCTTCCTGTCAGCAGTGCAGGTGTATAAATCTACTGTCAGAGTGGTAGTCGTTGAGAGAAGTTTTGCCAGTCTGGCCTGGAAAAGTCGAGGTAAACACGGTCACATCCTCAGCTGCAGGTGGCTGTTGTGCGAGGCCCAGGGAGAGGAGTAACCAGGATGTAAATACAGGGCTGAAGCAGCTGGGCTTAGACTGTGCCACTGGGGACTTTTAACAGTTCTGTAGTGCTCACTGCTCCAAAAACTTTGACCCAGCTACGACACAACAGTTACTAGATCCTTTTACCTGGAATCAATTATGCATTTTCCTTTCCCTGACGAGTCAAGTCTCTGTGGATTACCTAACACCACCACACTTCTAGGGAAATCTTTTAAAAAGACTTCTTAGAACCACATCTGCCACCAACTGTTATTATATTACAATGAATAAAGGTGCTGCTGATAAGCACCATTGTCTACATACCCAATGGTACAGTATGTCATGACGTTGTTATAGGGGTGGATGTTTAGCTCATGGCCTATATTATTAAAGCACATTGTTATTATCGTCCCACATCAAAGTATAAGCAAAAGCACAAACCTGAGGTAGGCCTATGACGATGAATTCCATATATGAGTTTCCTTCAAATTTGTAAATCAACATCAAGGCTTTACTTCCAACCTTTTAATCCCCTGTTTAATGAAAAGTTAATTTGCAAATATTAGATATAGATTTTAATCCCACAGTAGGGAAATTCACTTGTTACAGGAGCATGAGGGTCCGAAAAAAAAAAGGGAATTATAGATGTATTCAAAAACAATAAAAATAAACAAATAAGGTACTAAAAAAAAAAAGATAAACCTGCTAAAAATTAAGATCAATACAATTCATAAAAATTTTCTCCTGTTGACTCTCAGGCCTGATCACTCCATCAAGACAAAATGATTTCCACTGTTTAAAAATTCATGACAACTACTCAATAAAAGTTCAGCTCTAACATAACGAATGAATAAATCGTCCAGTATCTGATAATGGGATGCAGGGGCACCAGGCTAAGCAGGGAGCCCAGATCTCCCTCTCACCAACCAGCGAGCCCTCCAGTTTATCTTAGACTTATTGGGGTGTTTCCAGGCCAGCCGAGAGACAGAATCTCTCCAGCGTGTCCTTGGTCTGCCTCCTCCAGGTAGGACGTACCCAACTGAAACACCTTACCCAGAAGGCAATACCTCAACTGACTCCTTTCGATGTGGAGGAACAGCGGCTCTACTCTGAACCCCTCCCAAATGACTCAATTCCTCTTCCTATGCTAATGGAGAGCTTATCTACAGTTCGGAGAAAGCTCATTTGCAAAGCATGCATCTGCGATCTCATTCTTTCCCCTTTAAAAGAACCAACAATGTCCTGTCTGCCTGCATCTGAATTTGTATTCTCAGATGGCTGGCATCACCATCAGCCCACATACCATAACAGTAGATGGCTTTTGTATGGATAAAAGGATAAAAGTTTTCAAACTACCACATGTAAATCTTACGGTTTGCTGACTTAGACTTTTACAGTGCAGGGTCACTAAAATTCCAGTAGTAATAATTTGTGACATTAATGTTATGACATAACAGTAAAGTATTTTTCCGTTGTCAGGTAAATCATTATTACAGTTTAAATGAGCTGCCACTAACAGCCTGGGCTGCTGGTGAGAAGCAATGATTGGTGGGATTTGACCTGTAAGGCAGGGTTGGCAGAGGTGTGCTCACGTGTTGGTGCCCGATCTACAGCAGCTATAAATAAATGCTGATTAGCACATCTAGTAGCACAGTAACTATTACGCTAAATTAAACTCAAAGTTCAAATTATTGCTGGAGGGCAAGCAGTACTGTTTTTGCCATTCAGGTGGGCGTGTCCCAGTAATCTGACTTCACCTGAAAGCTAGAGAGACATGTTGGCTTGCTAATGCCCATCAGTGATAAGATACATATGACTGGGGCTGATGTTTAATCTCTGCTTTTGTAGCTGAGAAAATGTTCAGGGAGACGAAAGACTTTAAAACACTTTAAAAAAAGTTTTTTATTTTACTTGTATAAAATGGGAACAACAACAATATTATCCGGAGACTCAGCCTATTTGCTATATCCTCTGTAGTGGACATAGTAAAACTGGAAGATGTTTTTTCTCAACGGTTTTTTTCAACACACACACACACACACACACACACACACACACACACACACTTCTTTAGTACTATTTTTTAAGAAAACATTTAAACGGTTTAAAAGAAGAGACTGTATATCTTGGCCTCCAACATGTACACTCCATTGTACATGTCCAAAATCTAGTGTGTCTAATATCATTAGGATTCACACACACATGTATTTGGGAAGAAACGAGACACAGCAATCAGCTGCAGGCTATAATGAACAGAAAGCTCAGGGACCTGCTGTAACACAGTCTGTCCCTTTGAACTAGTAATTATTACCGATCACCGTGTTCCTCTATCAAACTGACCATCGCGCCACCATCAGCTGTCCTCTAACACCAAGATGACAGCGCGACTTATACCAGCTTTCACACCGTCTTTAAGTGCCCTACGCGATGTGCACTTTGGACATGCACTACAGATAAGAAGCGTACCAAGTTTTGGGACATCCTGGTGCAAGTTTGCTAACTAATTAGAACACATTGATAGCTACGGTAACCTATAAATGTAAATTTTCTCTAAAGCAAAACCAATTTAAACTTCTTAGTTGGTAAAGAAAATAGAAATAGTCAACTATAGGCGGTGCAATAAAATTAATTCAGCTAGGCGACATGTCAGGTTGCCACGACCCTCCTACTAGCTTGCCGGTGATGCTGCAAAGCTGTCAATCCTTTCCTAGCCTAGCCTAATCAGTACAGCTAGCTTTGCGGCTAACGTTACCTTGGTCTTGACGTCGCTCGAGTCCCACGCCGGTCTCAGCTCTTTAATGAGCTTCATCGCTCCCTCCGTTACCTTGCGCTCGTCCACGAAAACTGGGATTTTTCTAATTACCGGTGAGCCCACGGGTACATGTATTTGCGTCTCCATCCTGCAGCAATTTCTCTGAAACGTTAATCTCCAAGCCCTTGGCGTATATTTCTAAAGCAAAATTGCACCATACGAGTGCCGCTTGGTTTAGAAGTAAGTGTTGGTGTGGTTTTTGTGAGTGACCTAAGACTGGCTCAAGAGATTTAACACGCTGTTGTAACGTTGAGTTGAAAGCGGTACAGATGTACGATGAAACTGCCGGGTACTGATGTTCGTCGCCGGTTTTCTTAGGAGGAGTCAGCCAACTGTACCATTTCCTCCTAATTGGCTCCGCCCGCCCGGGATCATCCGATTGTACCGCCGGTTGAGACGCACTGCATTCGAGCACGCCCATTACTTCCGAAGATGCCCGAGCAGTGCCGGGTTCAGCCGAATGATAGCTGATAAAATGGAAAAATTCATTTTGGAAGTGAAGCCTGGAATTAGTGATGGGACGCGCTGCGCCGTCGAGAAATCCAGGAAGGCTTTTATCAAGCGCGTGCCGAGGCTTGCTTCTTTAAGGGCGAGTGACGTCACTATTGACGTCTGAAGCCTCGCTGTTTTAGCAGGTGGTTCGAGCGTTGGTGTGATTTATAATTTATAGATATTTAGTCTTCCTGTTGGAGTTTCACATCTGACATAGACGCGCTTGTTATCATGGAGCATGCTAAAAGGAGAAGGGCTTCCCCCTATATAACAACACTTTCTCCCAGTAAATGAATACTGGGAGAGTATTCATTTACTGGCAAACTCTTTTATCCTAAATGATAAGAAAACTGAAATCGTGGTATTTGGCAGCAACGTTCCTCGTTCCCTTACCAGCTCCCTTTCTGACACTCTTAGCAATCTGGGCGTGTTCCTTGACAGCTCGTTCAAACTCGATAAAGTGCCTGCTGTAGTTAGATCTAGTTTCTACCAACTGCGTCTCATCTCTAAGGCTAGGCATATGTTCTGCATAAGGACCTGGAAAAGCTCATCCACGCCTTTGTGACCTCAAGGCTGGATTACTGCAACTCACTTTATTTTGGTACTGGCAATTATTTGACATTGATATCCTTCTATTACTATTGCCTCAACATCATTAAAAAACAAATTAGATAAACAAAAGAATAAACCACAAAAATTCAGGTTAAGGTGTTTTAATTTCTTGCTAGCTATCACTCCCACGCTGACACTGTTGTAAGGCAGCCAAGAGGAATAATAAATAGATGAAATGGCAATAAAGGTTTTGACCACCAGGGGGTGGTGAGGCTTCATCTGGCCACCTGCATTTTTTAATGAAAGAAAAATAAACTGTGAAGAAGTCGCCCACATTAAGACAGTAGTCAATGTAAACAGACTAGACTCTACTTCAGCTACTGATTTTGTTTTTTATCAGAAATGATCAAGTTTTTATAAATGTTCTAGATATTTCATAGACAGTCTAAAATGTATATAGAGGTAAGTACTAGACCGCAGGATAAGTGTATCCCTTTAAATAAGATTAATGCACGTGTGTAAAATAATAATAGTAATAATAATAATACGTTTTATTTGAAAGCACCTTTCAGAACACTCAAGGACACTGTACACAGCAGAATAATAAAAACAACATAAAAGCGAGCAGTTTACACAATTATAAAAGCATAAGACATAAAACAAATTTAAAATAGCAGAGTGAGAGGTTATGTGGGATAAGCTATTTTGAACAAATGATTTTTGAGTTGGGACTTAAAGAGAGAGAAGGAGGTGATATTTCTTAAATCAGGAGGTTGGGAATTCCAGAGTCGAGGAGCAGAGCAGCTGAATGCCCTGCTACCCATGGTGGAAGGATCGGGGGAGGGGACAGAAAGAGAAAGAGAAGAAGAAGACACCGAGATGGGATGGTGATCTGAACCAGATCAGAGAGATATGGAGGGGAGAGATGATGGATAGCCTTAAATGTGTACAAGAATATTTTGAAATTGATGCAATATTTAACCGGGAGCCAATGAAGCCGCTGCAGCACAGGAGTGATGTGATGGATAGAAAGGGTCCTGATGATAATATGGGCAGCAGAGTTCTGGGCACGTTGAAGCTTGTGGATTGATTTTTGAGTAAGACCAAAAAGAAGTGAATTACAGTAATCAATCCGGGAAGTAACAAGACTATGAACAAGAATGGCATTAAAAAGCATTAAAGAGGCTCCCTCTTTGTTCTGAGTTGTAACAGGCTGTGAACTTGTGATGGAACTGTGGAGAAGTAAGTGTGTGCACACATGGACACATGAGTCTCCTGTAGAAAGACAAAGTCTCCCCGATAATCATTTAATCGGTTAGTAATTTTTCTTTTCCCTGGAAACAATTCCATGTACATCCCATGTGACAAACCTCAGTTTGGTCATGTTCGGAGTGTTGATTGGTTGCTTAATATGTGCGTTTGTGGGCGTGTGTGTGTGTGTATGTATGTACATCTGTTTGTGTTGTACGGCTGTGTATTTGTCTGTGCTGTATATAGGAGTGTTTGTGTTTGGTATGGCTGTGTATATGAGTTTTCTGTCTGTTTATGTGGTAAATGGCTTCATAGGGAACGCCTCATCAGCCACAATCACATATAGCACTGGTGCCAATCTGGTGCAGAAGGTAGAGGAGAGGCTGGTGGGACATGGAATGTGATGGGAATTGGCAAAGATGCCTCCATCGCCGTTGTTGCAAAAACCTCTGACTTCAACTGCAAGAAATCTATAGTGGCATCCACAAGTGCCAACAGGACTATTGAAAATGTTCCTTTATAACTGGAATACAAAGAGCCGGAGTTCAGCGATGCTTGTATAATCATGTGCTTCCCGTCCAGTGCACCTACACAATTGGGAATTTCACTGTTCCTCAAAGCTCCTGGCAGTTTCTTGTCATGTCTCCTCTGTATTGAATGGCACATGACTGCCTTTCATGGTTTCACTGATGAGGTCACAAGTTCCTTTGACTATTTGGGCCACAGTGGAAATCCCCGGTGTAAACTGCTAACCGTGGTGGTGAAAGGATCACGAGTGCTACGAAATCTGCAAAAACATAAGATGATTTGAGTCCTAACAATTTTAAATGTGTAAAATATTGAAGACGAAAGATTTGACAGAAAATCTCAATTTTCAAACGTGTTTTTTATAGTAGTTTTTACATTTACAGTTTAAAATATTAACCTTAAAAATCCTATAGCAGTTTTTACTATATAAACAATATGATGCTAGGCACTGCATTAACAAGTGTGCTTGTAGCTCCAAACGCACACTCAATATACAGTGATATGGAAATAGCAAAACAATACAGTTTTACCTCAGACACACAACTAGACGCTTCTCTGAGTCAGTTGGCTCTGTGAAATTACTCTGCCTCCTCAGATGTGGTCCCAACTGTCACAATAAGAGTTCACACTTGGCTCTGCTTCATTTTTAACACTAAAATGATGGCTTGAGCTGAGACATCATTTTAAACTCAAATGGAAGTCACATAAAAGAAGGACAGTAAACTTTTTCCCTTTAAAACCTGTAAGGTCACTTAAGAATAAGTATTAGCATAGCTGCTAATGCTCATGAGAGCCATGATAACAGTGGGAAGAAAAACTATCGCAGGCAGAGAGGCATTATATAGAGCTAATGATAGTTTCTGGGTCAATTAAAAACAAATAATTTTGAAAACAAATTTAAGAAAATGTAAAGTAATTTCAGGTGTTGAACAGTAGGCTGTGTTTGAGAAAAATATTTCAAATTCAAATGTATATTGCACTGAATAAATTGGATGCTCTGTGTTTTGTAGTTAGTCCTTATGTTGTTTTTGCCATCAGTCTGTCTGCTCTGCTGCGTCTATCTGTTACCTGGATGTTGACAGTCTCTGATAATAATGTGATTAGTCTTTTACCTAACAGCCAGTTTTGTTTTTTCCTGTAAAGTATCTCACCTGCTGCTGCAGCACTCTGGACAGGAGGAACACAGAAGAGATGACATTCTGTGGGATTTTGCCATTACAGCGGATCCTAAGAGCCCTTTGAATATCTCAGAGGAAGAAGCAGATGACAACATAATGAACACTGGTGCTCCACAGGGGTGTGTATTGAGCTCTCTCCTGTACTCATTCTACACCTACGACTGCACGGCCACTAGCAACTCCAACATCATTGTGAAATATACGGACGACGCTACAGTGGTGGGACTTATCACTAAAGGTGATGAGACTGCTTACAGGGGGGAGGTCAGCGCCCTGACCCACTGGTGCCGAGACAACCATCTTATCCTCAATGTCGCAAAGACAAAGGAGCTGATAGTGGACTTCCGGAGGTGCAGAGAAGTACACACCCCCATCACCATCAACGGAGCTGCTGTGGAGAGAGTGAGCAGCTTCCATTTTCTTGGTGTTCACCTGGTGGAGGATCTCACATGGTCAGTACACATAAATAAAACAGTGAAGAAGGCGCAGCAGCACCTCTTCTTTCTCAGGAGACTGAAAAAATTCTGCATGAGCCCCCGCATCCTCAGGACCTTCTACCGCTGTGCCATTGAGAGCATCCTCACTGGTTGCATCACCACCTGGTACGGCAACAGCACCGCTTACAACCGCAAAGCTCTCCAGAGAGTAGTGCAGTGTGGATAATTGGAGGTGAGCTTCCCTTCCTCCAGGACATCTACAGGAAGCGGTGCCTGAGGAAAGTGGGGAGGATCATCAAGGACTCCAGTCTTTGATGAAACTCTTCATCAAAGAGTGTTCAGACTACTTCCATCAGGAAGGAGGTTCTGCAGCATCGGTCCCGAACCAGCAGACTGAGAGACAGCTTTTCCACAGGCCATCAGACTGCTGAACACGTCATAGACACCACACACACACACACACACACACACACACACACACACACACACACACACAACACACACCACACACACACACACACACTAACTTCAATAACATAGAGAAATCCAGGCATAAAGTGTGTGTGCCCACAGATCCCCCGACATGCAAGTGTTGGCTACATGTGGAGGTGTGACATTTACAGATTAAATTTAGTATGAATTTCAGCATAATGATGGTATTAGTTTAGTTTAGTGCAGCAGTGGATAAAAACTGATTTCAATGACTAGCCATCACCATTTACTTTGACGATCCAACACTTGTAGCAACTGAGTCCATTCCTTCTCCCACATCACTTCTGTTGGCAAGAAAATGCATTTTTCCCCATCTACACTTTCTGACTGATCCTTTGTATCAGTCCCTTAATTAAAATTAATGAATTATTAATTAGCAATTAAAATGTGAACTTTATTTTTATTTTGTGTTAAAGGGACTGACCTTTTCATTACAGGTGTGTATGAAGTATTAATAAATAATGTACTACTGCACTACTACAGGACTACTTCATAGTAATGAAGGATGCAAAGGTTGGCAATATTCCAAGATTCTTTAATTTTAGGGTTTTTGCAGAACAATTCTTTGATTTATTTTGTGATCATTAGCCACAGGGCATCTCACAGATTAT